TTTGTTTTAAAAATGTTCTTGGGGCAAGAAGGGCGTAATAGAAACTGAGCTTTGGTGAAGCTATGCAAAAATGAGCTAAAAATGACAGCTGTGGAGACGGTGGGACGTGGCTTTGGGTAGACCCCTTCTTTCTTGTCGGGCCATAAATGCGCACCTAAGACTTTAATGGCACCCGGCTGAGGGGCAGGGGAATAATGACCGGTCCATGGGCTCCCAGTCTGCCAGGACCTGCAACAAGCACACAACTCCTGCCCCTGCTGTTACTCCCCCTCTACAGATGAGGAAACCAAGGCACAAGGAGGGTAAGTCACTGGCCGGCTACCCAGCTAGAGTATGGCTCGGCTGAAACTCAAGGCCCGGCAGCCTGGCTTCAGGCCCTGTGTCCCCCCACCTGCTACACCCAGGGGACAACAGGGGTCCTCCCGCCCAGAAGCCTCTCTGTTGGGGTTCCTAAATCCCACACCTGGAAGGAGGAGGATGGCACCTCTCAATCTTGGAGGCTTCCCCAGCCCTAGCGAGTTTTGATTGTAATCAAATTAACAGCATAAACAAGATTTATTAGGCTCTTAATTACCTTTGCAACACTGATTTGCATAAGGACAATGTGCTAATCACAAATGGCTTTTTTAGCCACTCATTAAAAATCTGGAAGAAGGCAGAAAGGCTTCATTGGCTTCAAGTCCAGGTCACTGCAGGGACTTGGAAGCTGTCCTACTTGCCCAGCCGCTGGTCTCAGACCTTGCCAGGCGGCCCTCTTGTATAGCATCCTGGGCATCTGTGAGTATAGATGGCAGCCCCACTGCAGCCAGTGATCAGGACAAAACAGGGAGCAAGGCTATAGCCTTTCACAGACTGAAGATAATTAGTATTCCTTGTCACCACTCTTGCCCTCAGAAATGGCTGCGGGGCTGTGGCAGACTGACCCTCTCCTGACTTACTGCTCACGCAGCGCCACGTCCCCCATCGGCGGGGAATCGTGAGGCCGAGGGGTCAAAGGCCTTGCTGGCAGGCACAGCGTCTGCGTGGAAGAACGCAGGCCCTGACTCACAGCCTCATGCTGCAGCACCAGACCTCGGCAGCCTGCAGCAGATGTGACTGTGACACCCGAGCTCTCCAAATATGACAGTCACCAGGGACCCTCTAGGCATCTGCCGTCCCTAAGGGCAGGGCGGGGCTGTAAGTGTCCAGGCTCCACGTTCCCTCGTCCTCCCTCTCCCATTTGTTCTCAGAGCCTCAGACAAGGACCCAGAGCCTTCAAACAGCCAGATACCAGCAGGCATCAAATCTCAACTGTCCCAGCACACCCAAGCTCACCTCCGGCTCAATGTCTCCTTAATAAAAAGGCAAAAAGAGCTTCCTTCCCCCAAGCCATTCAATAAAATTGTGGAAGATGATAGATTAAAACAGTATGCTAATTGTGAAAGTGCTCAGCTTTATTTTCCATTGTTTGGGAAATTGCATTGAGGACTTACGAGGTGATGGACCCCGTTGGAGATTCCCCGGAAATGAGGAATGTATCCTTTGTGAAATTCATAAAGGTTGCAAGGAGAGGGTGTGTAACTTTCAAGTGCCCAACCACAGCGTGTCCTCAGAACAGCCTGGGGCTTGGAGAAGGAGCACGGGCTATAAAAAGGGAAACAGGTGAGCTGTGGATCAGAACAGTAGATGACCCTCTTCCAAGAAGACCCTCCAAATCGGGTTAACAACTAGACACCTACCACCTTGTTTGGCCTTGAAGGACCAGCTGAACAGCAGAGCACTGTGTGCTGCTTAACGTCTTGCTCTGCCCTTTACTGGTTGTGTCTTCTGGGGCAAGTCACTTTCCTACTCCGCCCAGTTTCCCTTCCAATTCTGCCATTCAAAGTGTGGGATATTGTCTACCAGCCTCACCACCTCCCTGTGCTCCCATGAGGAAGCCTCGCTCCACGGGACCGACTGGTTAGTCACCAGTACTCAGCGAGTCGTCCAGCCCACACAGCTTTCCTTTCTCTGACAGACTACCCAAGGCCCAAAGAGTAAGTGCCAGCCTGGTCTTCAAGCTTTCAGACCACTGGCTTTGCATTCTCAGTCATTCTGCTGGACTTACAGAGAGCTGAGGCCATGGTGGCAGAGGCAGCAGGGAACTGGGTGCTGGCCAGTGGCTCTTTGGCCCACAGCGTTTCTTAGGAAAGCCAGCTTGACTTCATAGAATGCACCCACCCCTCCCAGCCCAAGTCCTTCAAGGTCAAGACTCCCATCCTCTGGGCAGCCTCCTGACAGTCAGCCCTGTCTATCTTCCTCCTTCTGAATCCCAAAGCCATGTCTGCCTATCAATGAACCCTAGCCCTGCCCTGCTCTGCCCTGCCAGATTACAATGTGGCCTCATTGAGTCTTACTTCCCAACTACCTGGAGGCCACTCCTCAAGCACAGACACATCTCATCTCTGTTTAACCCCAGGACTGAACAACCTCGTGCCTTAGCTGGCAAAGGGCCGGCCGAGATCCAGATCTGTGGCACTCTGTGGCCGAACAATCATGGTCAAGCAGGTCTGAGGCTGGTCTCTAGTGGGGAACTGCAGGGCTCTGGCCCACCATCAGCAGCAACTCCACGAAAATGACTTGGAGAGAAGCTTGGGAAGGTCATAAGACGTGAGATGATGAGAGGAGGACGAATCCGGAGGGATGGACAGCTGGGCTAGAATTAATAAGGTACAGCTTCCCGAGGGCAACTGGGAGGTATGCTGCTTCACTGAATGCAGCTGCAGCCTGTACTCAGGGGCTTGGTTCAGATGAAGACAAACTGTGGCTTTTAGCAAAAGGTGCGCAGAGGGAGGCGGAGGCAGGTTTTGTCTCTCTAGAGCAGTGGTCCTTAACCAAGGGTGAGACTCCCCTCAAATGTGGGAGGGTACTTTTGTTATGACAATGCTTAGAGGAGGAAGGCAGTCATTAGAAGAATGGAGTGGGATTAACCAAGGGGTGGGCATTAAAAAGAGAGAGAGAGAAAGAGACAATGGAGAGGGCAGGGACCAAGACGCTAAATGCCTGCAAAGTCCTGCACCATGAAAAATTACTGTGTCAGACACGTGCACTGGCACATGCTTGTAATCCCAGCATATTGGGAGGCTGAGGTGGTAGGATTGTTTGAACCCAGGAGTTCAAAACCAGCCTGGCAATAGAGTGAGATGCTATCTCCAAAAAAATTAAAAAGAGGCCGGGCGCGGTGGCTCACGCCTGTAATCCCAGCACTTTGGGAGGCAGAGGCGGGTGGATCACTAGGTTAAGAGATCGAGACCATCCTGGTCAACACGGTGAAACCCCGTCTCTACTAAAAATACAAAAAATTAGCTGGGCATGGTGGCGCGTGCCTGTAATCCCAGCTACTCAGGAGGCTGAGGCAGGAGAATTGCCTGAACCCAAGAGGCGGAGGTTGCAGTGAGCCGAGATCGCGCCATTGCACTCCAGCCTTGATAACAAGAGCAAAACTCCATCTCAAAAAAAAAAAAAAAAAAAAAAATTAAAAAGAAATAGCCAGGTGTAGTGGCATGCGGCTATGCTTCCAGCTACTCAGGATACTGAGGTAGGAGGATCGCTTGAGCCAAGGAGGTCGAGGCTGCAGAGAGCTACGAGAAAGCCACTGCATTCCAGCCTGTCCAACAGGGTGGGACTCTGTCTTTTAAAAATAATAGGCCGGCATGGTGGCTCACACCTACAATCCCAGCACTTTAGGAGGCCGAGGCAGGTGGCTTGCTTGAGCTTAGGAGTTCGAGACCAGCCTGGGCAACCCCCTCTCTATTAAAATACAAAAAAGTAGCCGGGGTGGTGGTGCATGCCTGTGGTCCCAGCTACTTGGGAGGCTGAGGTGGGAGGATCACTTGAGCCCAGGGGGCGGAGGCTGCAGTGAGCGGAGACTGAGCCACTGCAGAACCAGATCTTGTCTCAAAAACAATAACGTTAATAAGAAAATAAGAAAAAATTATCCTGTGAAAATGCACTAAGAAACACTGCCACAGAAGGGAGGCTTGGATCTGCTCAGCAACCAGACCCAGGATCCAAGGAGGCAGCACCCTGGGTGGTGGTGGGCTGGCAATGGTACAAAGGGCTTATGACTGAGGCAGGCAACCGCATGTCAGGGGGCCCAGGCAGGGCACTGGACATGATGAGCGCTAAGGTCTTTTCCAGCTCAGAAAGTCAACAAGCCTCTAATTCGATTTGTAAAGCGTGGCTGACACCCGAGCTCCTGGCAGCGCCTCGATGGTGCGACCCAGGTCTGCCTGCGGCGTGCTCTGGGCTGCGGGTCCCTCAGTCAGGCTGGATAATGAGAGCCGCGCGCTGACTGCAAATGCCCCTCCTGATCATTAGCGGGGACACGCGAAGGGGAGAGCAGACAGCATGACAGGCCCTGTTGTTGCAGGGTCAGCCTGCAGAGCGCTCAGAGAGAGCATCCCCAGCTCAGCAAGGGACTCGAAAGATAATTAACTGGAGGAATTGCCAGTCCTGGCCACGTGCTCCTTCTGAGGCTGGCGCAGGTGGACTGGACAATCCCTTGGTGCTGGCGGCCTCCAGCAAGCCCATTCCTGCCTGTGACCCTGGGCTTCTGGTGGACCCAGCCCAGTGTCACTTGGCTCCAGGGTGGCTGGCCTGGGCTGGTTCTGTCCCCATCTTGGCTGAAGCCACCAGCCCCGTGGGCCTTCCTGAGACCCCTGTCAACCCCTGGTTTCTCTGGGTTTGCCCAACACCCTGGTCAAGAAAGAGGGAAGGTGCTGAGCTCAGAATTCCTAACATTTTGCCAGATGCCTAGAATCTGAGGAAAAACAGCCCCCATCAAAGTGACAAACTCAGTGCTTTTAACCTGTTTGAGAGGGAGAAGCAGGGCTCGCCCACGAAGACGTAAAAACAACCGCGCCTTAGCAAATGCAGCATCCTTACGGTTGCAGAGGGCCTAACCCAGAGACACGTCCAAGGAGATCTGAGACCCAAGGCTGTCTGCTCAGCGCCTGCCCCCATGGCACCTACCCACTTACCTGTGCGACAGAGTGGGTTTCATGGAGCTCATGGAGCTGAGGGGGGGCTGCATGGGGAGTTTCCCAGGGGGGTCACTCTGGCGGCTCTTCTGATGTCGGAGCAGCAGCAGGCGGCCGAGCTCTTCACACCAGGAGGACAGCAGGGCTGCAGGAAGGACATCACGGTCAGTGGGTGCTTGTTCATCACACCCTGCCACACCAAGATCCCTCCCCGCCCTTCCCAGACTGGGTGCTATCCATGATGGCTTTGCTCCCAGATTCGTGTGACAGAAGACTCACTCGGCCTTCTTGGGAGGCCTCAGTGTTCTCAACTGTAAAATGGGACTGACACCCTTGTCATTATCAGCCGGTCAGAGGAGGGCCTGTTGTAATGGCCGAATGCGGGATGTACTGGTCGGAGGCAGCAAAGAGGGGGAGAGTCAGGATGATGGGAGGGGTGGCAGAGATGGTGCCAAGGGCAAACCGGAGGGGCGAGGGGGCCTGGCACAGACCGTGAGTCAGGGCAAGCTCAGCAGCTGCCCGCCACCCCCTCGCACTTTGATCAGAGGGGAAACGTGGTTCAAAAATCACAAGGTTTGAACAAAATCTGTAGCCTTCTTAGAATCTGTTGACAACCCAGGAGCGTCTGAAGGGCTGTTCCTGAAACTCCCGCCCAGAAACTGTCCCCTAGCACACACCTCCTGGTCACACCCACAATTGGTCCCTGCTCTGCTGCGCACAAATGCGTGGGGAGACAAAGGGTGTCCAGAGCAGAGGGTGGCTGGGGCGGCAAGGTGCCAAGCAGGAGATAGCCAGGGGTGCCCAAGGCAGGAACCTGGAGCAGCTGTGCATGTCCAGGCTGAGAGAGCTCCACGTGAACTGGGGGCTAGGGAAAACTGCCATTTTCTTTCATTGTTCACTGTCCCTATGTGGCCACAGGAGCCAAAAGCGCCCCCTGGGCCAGCGTGTCTCAGCCTGGGCTCTGGCCAGCGTGTCTCAGCTGGCCTGTCCTCCTGAAGTGCATGACGAAGCTGGGGGCTGGGGTAACTGGAAGGCTGCACTCCGTCACCCTCTTGCTGTTGGACTCCAGAAGCCCACAAGACCCTCTCTGAGCCTCAGTTTACCTGGAGGTCAAAAGGAGTAATGACTCCTGCCCTGGCTTCCTCCCAGGCTGCAGGGAGGGACAGATAGGGAACTGCTGGGTCTGTGGGACTGCTGGATGAAGGGTGGCCACACCTCAGCCGAGGCCCTACTCCTGCTGAGTGATCTAAGCGTTCTGGAAGCAGTCAATGGGCAAGAGTGGCCAGGCATCTTTTGAATCACAACTGCTCAGCATGCGGCTGGGTGCAAAGCCGACTCTGCATTTCAAGGGGCTCCCATCTGGACGCTGCAAAACGTGCCTCTGCACCCTTTTTTCTCGACCATCCAGGACATCATTAGCTATTATTATCCTCATTCTACAGATGAGCAGACGGGGCCTGGGCAGGCAAAGCTGCTCACAGTAACCACAGCCAGAGTTGGCAGGAACAGACACAGTGCTCCTGCCCTTGGTCCCACACCCTGGTGGTAGAGCCTGAGGCTGGACCAGAAGGTGGGGAGGAGAAGAAAGCCTTCAGAAGGCAAAATCCTAGGTGTTCATGGCCCCCAGCCCCTCTGAGTCAATAAGGAACCCCTGAGGCATCTTCTGTGTCACCATGTTCAGCTGGCAGTGGTGGAAGACACCCATATGCACGATGACAGGAGTGGCTGGGCAGACTGCCACCCTGAGCCGCCCAGACAGGGTTCTGTCAGCCCAAAGCCCCGAGAAGATGCCAGGGCCACTTGCTCCATTTGCTCAGCTTGTGTGGTGCACAAAGACGTCCAACCAAGGAGGCGAGCAGAGGCTATGGTCCCCCAGGGGGCCCCTGCTTCTCCCTCCAGGAGTGGGCCCGGTAGATGAGCTAAGTCGTAAAAGATGTATTCTGTGGGGTCACCTTGCTGCCACCCTCAAAGGGAGGACAGTATCAGAGAAGAGGCACTCTCCCCTGGCATGTACATCTGCCCAGAAACTGGCAAATACCCCTATGGGGGCGTCCAGCACACATCTGCTGCAGCTGGAGAGGCAGCCTATTCAGGGAGGCCAGGACAGACAAAAACTAGCCTCCAGCCCGCTCCATCCTTCTCCCAGGCCCCTAGGTACTGCCTCTTGTGTGGGGCACTGGGCATCTGGAAACTCATTTGCACTCCAAGCACGAGGCCCACTGGATTGCAGCGATGGAGGGATCGCTCCACTGCCAGCACAAAGGACGGCCGCAGATGGTGCCGCCTGCTGCCCACCCCACCCCTCCCAACCCTCGCTCCTCCTGGGGGCTGGCCCGCCATGCAGGGGGCGGAGGCACCCCGGGGGAAATCAGGGCTTTCCTCCAATGTCACGGGTCACCCCCTGCTCGGCCAAGGACAGCCCTTGTCCTCCTGCCCCTAGAGGAGTGGTTTCCATAAAGGGAATAAAGGCAGGCTGGCTGCGCGGCAGGGCCTGGCTGTACAGTCTGGCATGCCACAAACAGGCATGATATGTGGATCAGACAGCCACAAAGGCCATGCTCCTACAACCAAGAGGTGGTGAAAGGATGGGGAGGCACCACCCCTCACCCCTGAGGCTGGTGAGCGCAGAGGCCATGCTGGCAGCCCCATGCGGGGCGGTGGGCCTTGTGTGTCTCTTCCTCGTAGCGCAAACCAACACAAGTTGTTCTGAGGAAAACGTGGCAACACACGGGAATTCGCAGCCAAAAAGGGAGTCTGGGCACTGTCAGAGAACCAGGAGGGCCGGCAGGAACAGACAGAGGCAGGCAGGGGATTACGCAAGGACAGAGAGTGACACCAGCTGGGCGGGCGTCTGGCTGCGCCTGGATCCTGGCCATCACTCACACATTCTGTACCGGGAACCCTGTCTGCTCTGATTAGGCGGGTCTGGCCTGCCTGCCTCTCTGACCTGCATGCCTTTGGTCTGTGCACTTGCTAGGACAGCATAAATAGTCCCCGGGTGAGTGGGAGAGACAGGAGGACCTGGTGTGGTGTGCACAGAGCATACCAGGCAATGGAAGGGCAATTTCAGTCCTGACCTGAGCCCCTCTCTGCTGCAGGGAAGGTCAGGAGTGCCTTCTGCCTGGACAACCAACATGGCCAGCCTGTCTCTTTGTCCCGTGGGCCCCACTTACCGGTGGTAAGAGGGCTGGACCCAAAGGCCCCTTTGCATACAGAGGGCTCCAACTTTTAAATTAAAACAGCAGCTAGAACTCAATGTCCCTTTCCTCATTTATAAAGTACAGCATGCTTGGGCCCAGGACAGCCTTGGCCAGTACACGTGACTGCCTCTCTCCTGCTGACAGGCGACAATTGGCCTCCTGCCTGGTGCTCCCACGGCCGAAGCCCCATGTACACATCACTTGCACAGCTGTCGGTGAATGCCATTAGACCCACGGCCACCCTCCGAGGGGCTAAGCAATTGGCAGTGAGATACTCCAAAGCCTGCCAAGGGGTGTGGAGAGGAATTGTAGCTCCACTGCGAAAACTTTCTGGGCCCCTTCCAATCTGGGGTGTCAACATGGGGAGGCCTTCTGCCTGTCAGAAACCAAGAAGCAGGGGCTGGGCGTGATGGCTCACAGCTGTAATCGCAGCACATCGGGAGGCTGAGGTGGGCAGATCACTTGAGGTCAGGAGTCCGAGACTAACCTGGCTAACATAGTGAAATGCTGTCTCTACTAAAAATACAAAAATTAGCCAGGCGTGGTAGCTGGCACCTGTAATCTCAGCTACTCAGGAGGCTGAGGCACAAGAATTGCTTGAACTCAGGAGGTGGAGGCTGCAGTGATCTGAGATTGCATCACTGCCCTCCAGCCTGGGCAACAGACAGACTCCATTCCCCCCAAAAGAGAAAGAAAGAAAAAAGAAAAGAAACGAAGAAGTGGGAGGGGCTATTGGGAGCAGAAGTTCAGCCACAGAAAGGGGGTCGGGGTCAGGAGGGGGCCTGTGGAGCTGGCTACAGGAGGTCCATGGGACCACCCCCTCCTGGAGCTGATGGTGTGGTTATGGCAGTACCCACTGCCCCTTTCCTCCAGCAAGATCTCTGATGGGGAACTGTCTTCTTTGGGGGAGGAGAAACAGAGGCACAACCGGCTGGAAATGCACCGCTTCTGACCCCTAAACAAATCCCCTCCCTGCCATCACTCACGGCAGCAGGCTCTTAACAAGCAGGTGCTGAGCTGGGTGCAGGTATCCCAGAAACTGGGCTCTTAGGCTCCTCACCAAGCCCCATCCCCTGTCATCCTCTCCAGCTTGTCCAGGGGCTGGTGCCGCACCAGGGAATCGCCCCAGACCCCAACTGCCAATGCTGAGCCTTAATCCAGATTTCTAAGCACCCCTCAAGTGTCTCAGCATAAAACGTGCAAGCATGCACCACCCCATCCGTCTATTAAGTGAACCCACTGGGCTCCCCCATCTCTCCAAACTGATCCTCGTGACCAGACTCCCTCACCTCGATCCATTCTCACTTTCGGCATCAAGGTGTTCTATCACTCAACCAACCTTCATTCAACAAACGGCTGCTGAGCACCTACTGTGTGCTGGTGGTACTGCGGTGAAGCAGGTGAGGCCGTCGTCCCTGCTGAACCCTCACACGACCCCCACCACTTAGGATGACAGGCAAAGCTCCGCAGGCTGGGAGGAAGCCCCGGCGCCCATCTCTCCTGACCTCAGCAGGCAGCTGCCACCCTGTGGTTCAGGGCAAGGGACTCTGAAAGTCTGGATTCGAAACCTTATTATTCCCTTCACAGCTATGTGACCTTGGGTAAATGACACAACCTCTCTGGGCTTCAGTTTATCTGCCAAATGTTAATCCTTACCCCTTACGGTTTTTGTGCTTTTGATTTTTATTTTTTGAGACAGTCTTGCTCTGTTGCCCAGGCTGGAGTGGAGTAGCTTGATCTTGACTCACTGTAACCTCTGTCTCCTGCATTCAAGCCCTTCTTGTGCCTCAGCATCTTGAGTAGCTGGGACTACAGTTGTGTGCCACCATGCCCCGCTAATTTTTTTTAATGTTACACACGTAAAAAAAATATTTAGGTAGAGACAGTTTTGCCATGTTGGCCAGGCTGGTTTTGAACCCTTGGCCTCAAGCAATCTGCTCACCTT